AGGCTGCACTGACCCAAAGGCTCAGAGGCTCCAGGGCCACCTATAGGATCTCTCACATTGCTGCTGTTGCTGCTGTGGGCAGGGGGCCTGGTCCCTGTGCACAAGATAGACCAAGGTAGTGTTGGGACCTCAGATCAGGGTAAGGCATGGTACAATGGGGGTGGGGACACTCCCAAGGGAGGGAGTGCAGAGGGCACCCCTGGAGCCATGTGGAGGCTGCCGACTGCAGATCACCCCAGGGAAAAAGCCAAGGAAGAGAATTCTATGCAGAATACCCAGCAAAGAGGAGACCATGGCCCTAACACATGTAGGCATGTTACCAAAGGACAAAACCACAAGGGAGATTTTCAGAAGGAAGGGTGGTTCTGAGTGCTTACATGTGTGCCTATCATCCCAGCACTAAGGAGGCTGAGGCAGGAGGATCACAGGCTCAAGCCCAACCAGGCAACTCAGCAAGACCCTGCCTCCAAATTTAAAAACTTGGGCATGTAATTCAGGGTTGGAGTGCTTGCTTGGCACAAAGGAGGTCCTGGATTCCATGCCAAGCACCAGAGAAATAATAATTTTAAAATGCTAACGAGTCCAAGATGTGGAAGTGAACAAGTGAAGAAATCAGGAGCCGGCCCTGGTGAGAAGCTGCAGGTACAACTTTGGCGGACAGGGAAAGCAGGCAGAGGAGTGACGCTGGAGACAAAGGCTCTGTTCAGAAATGTCAGCGCTGGTGGAAGAAGCACTTGGTCAGAAGACGGGGCACTGGGCACGGAGCTCTGATCTTGGCTGTGGATGGCAGGGGAAGATGAAGAGAGGATGGATGGAAGAAGGATGGAGACCTTGGCCAGTGGCCCAGGTGTCAGGACACAGGGGACAGGAATGAGGAGCACAGGTGAGAGACTGACTCTCCCTCTGAAGGAGTGGTACGTGTGGAAAGGGCGGGACTTAGAGGCTCAGGCATCTTCTTAACCTCTAGATGGGGCTGAGGAGGCGGGAGGGCTGGAGAGGTCCGAAGGCCACAAGTCTGCTCTGAGAGTATCTGCAGGTCTGGTGCTGGCTGAGTTATGCCGTGACCTTCCTAGCGTCCAGCGCTGGGATTAGCTAAACCCACATTTTATGCTGTCCTGACATCTGCAGCCCCAGAGCCTGCCAAGCATCTGGAATTTCTGTGCTGCTAACATTTTGTCATCCCTGTGACCAGAGGTCAGCAAAGCACCCATTCATCACAGCCAGGAGACCTGCAGGCAGGGCCATGGGGAATGGTGCTGAGTCTGGGCATCGTCCCTGTCCCTTGGACCACCCCTGGTCCTCCTGCAGGCCTAGAGCTAGGAGCAGGGGAACACAGGAGGCTCCCTGGCTGCTGGTGGGCCCCTTGTGCTGAGCAGCTTCCTGCTTAGGATACCCATGAGCCTGAGTAGCCACAGAGAGGGGCTGGCGGTCTCAGTGTCCCCTGGTTCATGCAACTCTGCTCCCTCATCCAGAGCAAAACAGGAGGGAAGGTGGGGCCGTGTGTGGGGTGTACGTGTGTGTGTGTGTGTGTGTGTGTGTGTGTGTGTGTGTGACTTAGTCCTGGGATGCACTCCTGGGGAGCAAACTCCATCTACAGTTACTCACATTGGCATCATCACAAGCCCTAGGGACAGGGCAGTGTGTGGAGTCAACCTGTCCCTCTGCTACAGTTCCAGATTGGTGAGGATCCGGGGTGCCTGGCAGTGTCCGGACTTTGGTAATGGCACCAAACAGCCTTCCTATTTCCATATGTGCTCTCGCTTCCTGACAGCTGCTAGAGAAGAGTACTTGGGACACAGTACATAAGACCTAGTAAGGCACTTTCAGACCCATTTCACAGCTAAGGAAAGCGGGACAGAGAGGGAAAGGATTCCCCGGGCCTCACAGCTACTAACCACAGGGGTGACCTCTGCAGCCATGACACACCCTGCTTCCCCATGCCGAGCTGCTGCTCAGCTTGGCCAGGTATCCAGGACTCTGGGAAGGGGCAGAGAGGAGCCAGGCAAGACAGGAACCCACGTCCATCTTGGTGCCCCTGGCCTGGAGTAGCTGTCTTCTGGGAGCACTGTTCCCAGACCACAGGTGTCAAGAATCACAGACTGTGGGTGCAAAAGTTCCATTTGGTGCTTGGGGACAATCTGCAGGGTCCCCCTCCAGGCATGCACAGGGCCCGGGGGAGTTAATCACCTCCCCCACCAGCACACACTCTCCTGGGTTACTGAGGGATGGAATTGATTCCCCTGCCTCCACTCAGAGCCTGCCGATGATCCCTGTCCCCAGACTCCAAAGATGAAACTGAAATTGCTCCTTCCTGTGCAATGGCCACACCGAACCATGGTCCCAGAGCACTCTGGTTCATTATCAGCTGTCCCTCCAACTGACTTCGGGGCTCAGAGTACTTTTTTGTGCCCTGGGCGGGTCCCTGCTTCCCTTCTGTGGCTCTGTCCTTGGCCCCCTGACCACCCCAGCCTTACTCCGGTACCATTCGGGACAGATACCGAGGCCTCAGTACCTTCTCATCCAGTTTCTGTTTTAGGATCTGTGCCCCTGGTTCTGGGAAGTCTCTCGCCTGAGTGCTGAGAGGTCTAGAAATTTGTTTACCAAGACATCTCTGGCCACCCCTGTGCTACAGAGCCTGCTACCTTGAGGCTTCATGTAGCCTATAGCTGTGTCCTCAGCCCTCCTTGTGGGCAGGCCCAGGTTTCTTAGAAGTTCTCAGTCTTCCCTGAGCCAGTGCAGGGGGAAAAGCCTCTCCCTTGAGGAAAGGCTGAGAGACACAGACCATGCTGCCTGCTGGACAGATGCTTTCTGCTATACTCAGAAGCCACATCCACACTGACCACAAGGAGTGGGTAGGTCAGCCTGTCCTGCGGTTGTCCTCTCACAGGCCACTACCTCCTGGTTCTGGACCCTACTCACTGTGGAATAGCTACCCCCAGAGGAGTGTCCGAGGAGAAGGACGTATCCTGTCCTCCAGCCCCTTGTGAAGACAGAGGGGCACTTCCCCTGGGGTCCCTGAGCACATGCCCTCCTGGGCGGTCAGGCCACACAGGGTCAGATACTCATCCCTAAACAGTGCCAGAGGATGAAGCAGACCAGTGTGGTAAACATACCCCACTAAGAAAAGTCCAAGGGGTCCCATGTCACACAAAACCAGTGACTGGTGACCAAAGCAGCAAGTGACCACTGTGGATGGCCAGAGTGTCCAGCCACTCAGAGAAAAGGAATCATGAAAAAGAGAATGGAGCCCCAGGTGCTGCCCCCAATCCCTGCAGCTTCCTCTCTTCAATTCAGTGTGTGCCACGGGGGTGGCAGAACAGCGGGATGCAGGGTATCAGGATGTGTCACAGCTTGCTGCAAAGGTGAGAGTCAGTAAATAATCTGGCAGTAGACCAAAGGCCTATGAATAAATAGTCCACGAAGCTAAGAATCCATAAAAGGTCTATGTCAAACCAAGGCAAGGTAGGAGAAATAAGGTAGGTAGAAAGGGACAAGGAAAATTATAATTTTAAAATTGTGTTTTTAATGAAAGTGAAAGTCTGGGACACAGATGTAGGCAAAAATTCCTTAAAGACACAGCACACCTGGGCCACTCCCTTTCCTTGCAATGGGCCTTCTTCCCCTTGAGTAGACCACCTGTCCACTAGAGACCTGGGCTTTCCTGTGGACAGGCTGTGTCCATCAGCTGTGGTGGCTGTCGCCCATCCCTGAGGAAGGACCACCATCTTGCACCTGCAACCAGATCTCTCCATGGGGTCACAGCTCCATAGATCTCCACCCTATGAATATCCCAGCCAGATCCCTTCCTGAGGCCCCTCTATGTTTCTCTACTGTGGATTTTAAATTCTGCCCAATGAACCTCTTTATATCTCCCACTGATGCATCCTGAATCCCCTTTTCCGTGTTGGAAGTCAGTGTACCTGCACCCTGACCTCACCCAGACAGACTGTACAGTGTGTGTGTATGAGAGGGGGCAGTAATGGCTTGTGTGTGGTGTGGGATGTAGTGTCTGTGTGTGTATGGTATATGTTGTGCCTGCGTGATGTGTGAGTGTGGTGCTGGGGATCCAACCTAGGGCCTCACACATGCTAAGCTGGAAACAAGCATTTCTAATGTTAACCCTGAAGACCACAGAGCACAGAGGTTCTTGAACTCGTTTAAGGGGGACCAACACTGAAAGGTGGGAATCAACCGAATTCATCGCACTACAACAACTGCAAAGGAAAGCGCCTTCTCACTGAATGTACAGTATCCTCAACCAGGATGATGCCTGCTCTGTTACCACCAAGGCAGTGAGCTTGCTCCTTGCCTTGTTGAGCCCACATGCACAGAGAACAGATTTTGTGGGGCACATGGCCGGACTAAAGCTTTAGGAGGACTAAAGCTCGCTGCTATTCCATACACTGCATCCGTTAGGCAGGTAGAAACCAAGGATTTTAGAGGGGGCCAATTTCAGAGGGCCCCAGTGCAGCCCTGCGGATGCTCTACAACAAGACTCCTCACCAAGCAGCACCTCCTTTCATTATCTGCAGTTACCAGTGCTCCCTATACCTTTGGTTCCCCAAGGTCACCCTGTCAGTGATTGACATAGCAACTCCCTTTGGGAGGAATGGTGGGATTTCCCCTCCTGTGTTGCTGCTACCTGTTGGGGATGAAGGACAGGACGGTCTCTGTGTGTTCTGGACAGAGCCCTATCTCTCAGAGTCTGGCTCCACCAGGCTAGAAAAGCTTCGGAGCTGGGCCTCCTGCAGGAGCTGTTTCTGTGAGTGATTTACAGACTCATCCCTCTCCTACCCACACATAACTAGATGGGCACTGGTGGTCACCTCTGGGCCCCTGGGGCCAGCAGGTGGGTGGCCCAGGTGTGACTTTCTGAGTAACACTGCCTGGTAAGGAAGGGCCCTGCTCCTCTCTGCGCCACTTCCTCCTCCCAGCCAGAAATGGTTAATTGCCAGCTCCAGGCTCCTGCAGCCCAGCCCTAATCGGCCTGATCTCGCTGTTGCTGGGCCAGCAGCTCCGGGCCAGGCTGGAGCATTCTTCCAAGGTAATGATTAAGCTGTGCACCTGACCAGCCAGGCTCACACCTCCTAGGCTGTGGTGGCCAGGACTGGCTGGGAAGGCAGATCCCCTCTCTGGGACCCACCAGCAGCCTCAGCTCCTGTCTGCCTGCACATATGGTCTTCCCAAGCATCCCTGGACTGTAGCCTGTGCTGCCTGCCCTCTGGACTCACTGCACCTCCACCATGAAGCTCTGGATGTTCTGGACTGGGCTAGAGTACACCTGCCGGATCCTGGGCATCACCACTGCATCAGGTAAGACCCCACCCAGACAACAGGCCAGCACCTGCTCTCTGTTCTCTAATTCCTTCCCATCCCCTTGGAAGCTCTGTTGCTCAAAGGAGCAGTGTGGAGCTGTCCTGAGTCTGGCCATAGCCCACCCTCAGCACAGCTACGGGACCCTCAGCACCCTCAGCTGCAGAGGGGCCTGCTCTGGGCCCCAACTCCTGGAGGGTAGGGAGGTGGGGTGGGGCTTGGGGTGAAGGTGCAAAGGGCAGACATGAGCATCATGCCTGTTTGTGTAGCTGTGAAGAGGGCTAAGTAAACTGTGCTTGCTCCAGAGCAGCTCTGCCCTGGGGGCACAGGCTGGGCATACCCCAGAGCTAACCAGAACACCTCAGAGGTCCAGTGTCCAGTGGGACTTGACCACAGAGTGCCCATGGGCTTCTGGAGTGAAGAGGGACTGGGCTGCAGACAGTTTTCACAGAAAAGCCTTCCCCTAGGGCAGAGCCCCCTTTGCTGGTCCCTAGGGACAGAATGTGTGCTGGGGACACAAGGAAGCAAAGCTTGCAGTTTCTGTCACTCAGGACCAGAAGGAGACACATGGCTATCCCAGCCTTCAGACAGAAGCTTCCTCAGGGAAGTCTCCAATTCAGATGCCAGCAGCCCCAGTCCCAGCCACGGCACTGACCTCTGCTGGATATTAGACCTTGGAGGAGCCACTGCCCCCTCCCCTGATGCACTTTCTGATCAGTAGGGTAGACTGTAAGCAGGTGTTTCAAGGATGCAATGCTGTGCACAGTTAAGAACTGAGGGTGAGGCCTTGGGGACTGGCTCAGAGCTGGGAGGATCTGGGCCAATCCCAGGGCACCTGGGTCAAGAGTCACAGGGGGAACCATAGAGAGGGTTTCTCCCCACTCTCCAGGCACAAGGTGGGGCTGCTGAGTTCCAGCAGGAGTTGTGACCTTACCCAAGGTCTGGCTGCAGGTCTTGGCCCCTGGGCTTTCCATAGTCCTGCCCACATCCTAGGGTAGGAAAGTGGGCCTGCAGAGACCCTGAGGGAAGAAGCTGGTGGAGGACCAGCCCACCTACTTGCAGAGCTACCATGTCACCTATACAGCGGGTAGCCACCAAGGACCCGCAGGCCAGCCTGGGCACAGGGTGCTAACTGGGCCTGTGTCCACATCAAGGTTAGAGTCCTGCTCTGCCATTGTCACTAGTGTCTACCAGTGACCAGGCCCTGGGCTCCAGATAGGTACATGATGCCCCTACCAGCTACCAGGAACCCCGTCCACAGAGCCAGGCTAGGCCCCTTTCAGGAAGCTGTGAAATGTGGGCCTCTGTCCTTCTAATAGATTGGAAAAGACAAGCCAAGAGGAGATTTATCTCATACAGGGTAAGGGTCTGCAGCCTCCCACAGCACCGCACTGCTCTTCCTAACCACAGTTTTACCTCTGCGCTGGCTGCTGGTAATGTGGAGAGGAACCTCCCAGCCAGCTTCAAGACCAGATCCAGGCTAAAAATAGGCCCTGTCTTCATCGCCTTCTAATGGCCAGGCTTTCAGAGAACCTCACGGGCTCTAGAGTGCTGGGAGTGCGGGGAAGAAGAAAGGCGTTGGTGCCCTCACTGCTCTCAAGTTCCCTTCTGCCTACTGGACCCCTGGCCTGTTTCCAGTGTATAAGATTTGCAAATTCCTTCTCCCTTAAGCCTCTTTTTCACTGAAATCCTCTGTTGAAAGGTTCAGGCTTCATTGTCAGGGCACTGCTGCTAAGGAGGAAAGGAGACTTCAAACAGAGCCGGTACTTGGGAGAAAGTCGGGGGAGTGAACCCGAGGTGGCCCAGACCCCTGCAGGTGGAGGGTGTGTACCAGGGGCTCAGAAGACTCGTCACCCAGGGCCCCTGAGTGCCAGCCTCTGCTGGCCCCTGCACACAGGATCCTGGCTGTCCCCAGACAGTGAGTGCCACTCACTGGGGAGTCCCTCTCCCCAACCTCTCAGGATGACACTCCTTAGGGTGGACTATGACCCATGGGCATTGTCGCCCATGCTGAGGTCCAGCCCATCCATACCTCATGTGCCTCTGGGGCACAGATGGAGCAGCGCCAGTGCCAAACAAGTATGAGCAGGTATGAGGCAGATTATGCCCAGCCCAGGCTGTAAAGTTGGGAAATTGTATGGCTTAGAGTAGCTACCAGGCTTACGGGTCATTTGTCACTGACCCACCCTGCCTACCCACACTGGGTCTGTGTGTCCCTCCCTGGCCTGGGCAGGTGTTGGGTGCATGTCCTTGTGTGCACGTGTGTGACCTCTGGGTGCCCCTGTTTCTGAGATGTGGCCCAATGCCACCCAAGAAGCCACCACCCTGAGGAGTGGCATTCGGAATGCCTTCCCGCTGCAGGTACCACTGCCTGTCACTCCCACGGAGCCCAAGCACACCTGATTGAGGATACAGACACCAAGACAACATGTACTCAGCCCAGGCAGTTCTGCCTGGGACTGGTCTGGATGCAGACTGACAGGACGGGGACCTGGGACACAGGTTTAACTGCTGGGTGTGGTGGCCCAGGCCCTCCTCCTCTGTCACATGGACAAGGCCCGTCCAGCAGGATGGGTGCCCCATGCTCAGGCTTCTCCCTGCCAAACCCTGGGGCTTTATTTCCCCTTCTTTGGTACTGGAACCTTCACTGAGCTACATTCCTAGCCTTTTTTTTTTTTTTTTAATTTTTAAATTTTGATCCAGACTCTGACTGAGCCCCTAAGTTGCCCAAGCTCAGCTTGAACTTGGCAATCCTCCTGCCTGGGCCTCTCAGAGCGCTGGAATTTGCAGACCTATACTAACTTGTCCAGTTTTGGGGGCTTTGTTTCATTCTTCCCACCTGCTCTGGTGGCTGATAACAGCAGTGTGGACCTGCATCTTTCCTGAGGGCCACGCTCTGTGCTGTGGCTTTAAATACAAGCTCTGTCTCTTCCTTAAAGCATCATCCTGTGCACCCTCACTCCTACTGTCCAGAGGGAAACTGAGGCTTGGAAGGTGGCACACAAGGCTCAAGGTCTCAAGACAGGGAGCGGAAGGAACGGTCCTACACTGACTGCAGACAGCTTCAGAGTCACTGTCTGGCCACGACACATAGATGCCTGCCATGTGGAACATAAGCCCACTCTACATGTGTGGAGAGTGAGGCTCTTGATGTTTGGGGCTTGGTAGAGGTTCCCGCATCCAGACACAGTTCAGGTGTGAGGACTCCAGACTAACTCGCCTCATGGCAGTGACACGGGGACTATCAGGAAAGAGCTCTGGTAGAAGGACATTTGCAGCAGCCCCTCCAGTCAGTCCAGTGCTCAGGCTCAAATGGGACCTCTTAGGGGTTGTTTTGTTCCAGGATTTGACCCATGAACCCGACTCTCCAAAAGACCAAGGCAGCTGCATTCTCCACAGCCACATGCGCAGTGCTTATTAATATAAATGTGGGCAGCACCCACAGCCTGGGCCCTCATTTGCTAAAGGGCACAGCAAATGTGTGGCCTGACCTTGGCCATGTTCAAAGCCTTCCAGGAAACAGTTGCTTGCTAAGTGACCCTGAACAGTAATTCATACACACACACACACACACACACACACACACACACGCATAGAGCCACTGACCACCTCCTAAACACCACCTGCCTGCCAGGGATCCATCTCCTGTTGTGACCGTGCCACCCATGCTGTGTTTCCGATCTTCTGGTGACAGTGGTTGGTTGTTTGTCTTTCCTGATCGAAGGGACTGGATGAGTAAACGGAATCTCCCTCCCGCTGAGAGCAGCATTCCTTTCCTTCCTTCTCATGTTCAAAACATGAATCTGGAGTTCACTTGCGACTCACTGAGCAGGCAAGCACCTGCTGGTCTCTCTGTGTCATGGATATTTGGCAGGACTTTAGCTTCAGGGGGCTGTACCCAGTGACCAGGGAGCCAACCTGGGGACCAAACAGCCCAGCCACCGTGCTATGAGTGTGTCCTCCTCACTCAGTGTGTGACCCTTCATGTGCCACCCGAATTCTGTAAGCTTCAACTTCCTATCCATGGGTGGGGACAACTGTAGGGCCCAACCACAGAGTGGGGCAGCTGCCAATGGCCCACAGTCCCCGCTCCACTCACATCAATCCCAGAGGTGCAAACAGGGCACAGGAAATGCACAGGATACATGAGACTGGAGGGAGGGAGCCAGGCACTACAGGTCAGAGGCTAGGAAGGAACAGGAGCCAGGTTGCAAGAGGCCCCCAAAATTCATATTTTGAAGTCCCTGTAAGAGAGGTTTTCAAGGGTTCTCCAGAGTCACAGTGAGAACCCAGTGCTCTGTGAGCAAGTGGACCTCAGGAGACACAGCAGCTGGCACTGAATCCTGGACCTTTCAGCCTCCAAGATGATGAGAACTAAATGTCTACCGTGTAAATCATTCAGACTGTGGTAATTTGTTAGCAGCCAAAAGGATTAAGCCACAATATTAACAAACTAAACAAGAAAGGCTGTTATCACCTTAGTGGTACAAAGGAAGCTTTTGCCCAGATCCAATATTTTTTCATGATAAAAACATCAGGAAGCCAGCAACAGAAGGAAACTTCCTCAGCCTAAAAAGGGAATCTATGTCTTAGACACTTTTCTCACCTCTGGGACAAATACCCAACATTCACAACTTAAAGGAGGAAGAGTTCATTTTGGCTCATGCTTCAGACCATGCTCCACAGCCCCCAGGAAGAAACAGCAGGGTGGAAGGGCCTGGTGAAGGGTCCTGGTGGAGGAGAAACTGCTCACTTCTCGATGAACAGGAAGCAGAGTGCAGAGAGGAGCAGGGAAGGGTGACAGGCCCTTCCAGGCCACACCCACATGGCCCACCTCTTAGGACCAGACTTGGCCTCCTAACAGCAAGTCTGTTACAGTACCCTTAATCTAATCAACTTTCAAAAGCCGTACCTGTGAGCACTTGAGGCTTTGGGGAACATTTTAGATCTCAACCATCAGAATGTACAAAAAGCATTCAGTTACTTCAGAGGACCAAATG